GGGTTTGTAATGTTTTTTTTGCCAGTGGCGATCTAAGTGAAATTTGAAGTGTTAATTGTTCAGGGGGTAATTATGTTGTCTGGTCGTGAATTTCTATCGTTTATAAAGCACTGACTGAAAATGTTTCTTCACAGTTCTAGTTTGTAGTGTATTTTAGTGAGTTTTTGGCTATGACCAAGAACAGTAGAGAGGGATGAATTCTGTCAATATTGTTCATGATTTTAAATACTTTGTCTATAGGCTAATAATGACAACTTTTAGACGCACATCTCATACAACAAGTCTCTAATTTTAGGAATTAATTCTGTGGCTCTTCTTTAAATCTTTGAAAATAAGACGATCAATTAATATTGCCATACTCCACGAAAGGTCATATGAAAGTTGTTAATAACAACAGCTTGTGTCAGATCCCATAGAAATGCATGGTACAGTGGTGCACATCTTAGCAACACAGAACGTTCTGTGATGTACTGGGTAGCACTGTCTTCCAGAATATAGTATAGCTGATTTGATAATCAAAATAGTCATGGGTTTCAAGCTAGATCATCATAATAGTAATAATTATTTAGGACAACAATTTAATCATATCCACTATAATAACTCTAATTAGATTAATTATAAAAAATGTTATTATTGCATTTTAATGAAGCCCATACAGCAATCAAGGTATGGATGATATTAGAATGATTCATTCATTAAAGAAATAACTGATGATTTTTTGTTCTCAATTTCAGATGCCGTGCTGTTGTCTTGGATTCTGAAAATAAAGTAAAGGAATTTGATATCAAACAAAGTAGGGTTACTATTTACCTCGAACAAGAACAACCGTATGACTTGGCAATTGTGAGTTGTTTATTATAGATTGTTTTTTATTCATGTCTGAAATTTGTATTGTGGGAAATGATTATTTGATTACAAAAAACTTTTCTGACTTTTTCACCAAAAGGCATAATCCATAATAATTTATGAATGTCTGTGTGCCCGTAAAAATCACTAACGTAAGGAAAATATAACACTTCAGTCTGACCTTTTGTGTCACGAAGTGGTGTGTTATCGCATGAATTCATGGACATTTTCTTATCTCCCCAAGTTGTTTATAAGATTAAAACTAAAACATAATTGCAAAAGCAAACTCGAGACATGCCTTAGATTGAAAGAAATACCTGTGTTGCCAGTCTGTTTATTAGTGGTATGAGGTTAGACCCAGAGAAAAAAAAAAATTGCATGCAAAATGTTGCTGGAAAAAGATGTTGGCACAATCAAGAAAAATAAAATGTACAGATAAGACACCCTGAAAAGAAAACTTGCATCAGTCACACTCTTTCAGCCTTCCTTCCTGATTTCAAATGTTTTTCTTACTTTTTCAAAAATGTGATTGTCACTTCCTTGTATTTTATGTTATTTTCAACACTTGTTGTTAACAATGCATACACAGTTATGCAGAAAACATGTGTTAATGTTCTCTTTCAAGAGCAAGTTCCAATTGGTCCGTACACAATCATATGCAAATGAGTTCCATATATGGATAACAGTTGATTTATTTATTTATTACTTATTTTTACCAGGATTCAGTGACCTTAATACCTGTTGAAGAATGGAATGAAGATTTTGTGAATCAAGCATTGGAATGTGTCCTCAGGAAACCAAGTGACATGTAAGTTACATCAAAACAGAACAGAAAGTAATTATTCATGTCTGACCACGAGGCGAACCTCGAATATTTTCCAAAATTTGTACATATTCATCTTTGTTTATATGAGACCCATATCTCGCGCATACGCGGCGCAAAGACTATCGCCATTTAATGCTACAATAGTGTGATATCACAACTTAATGCACTGTCTTAGCCCACACCAGTTAGGGGAAACTAGAAGCACCTGTACAACTGTTACCTACATGTAGCTTCCCCTTATATCTCATTCATTAATGAACGCTTCTTGGTCAGAGTCTGGTACACTCATCAAAGACTTTGAACACTAGAGGGAGTTACACGGTCACTAGACGGCAGTTTACATCTTTTTGATGGTGGTTTCCATGTAGGATTTGATCTCTGGATCTTCAGATGAACCACTAATACAGCAATTAGTTGATATTCTTTTTACTCTGATTACAGATGTGTTGGTAGTCCTTACCTGACACCTCCGGGAACACAGAAATGGGAAGTAGAGAGTTTAGCATATCTTCCATCGTCTTCCCTTGTGCATACTGGGGTAACTCCTAATGTTGATGATCCAAATACGGCTCTCTATACATTAGATGGACCGGGTGGAGTTGTAAGTTTTTCATATTTATTTATCAGTCAACATCTCTGACTTTGTCGATCACTGTATGTTTTTTGCAGCCAAGGAAACAAAGTATATCTCATTGCTAGCTAGTTACTGTTTGTATTGTTTATATACAATGTATTCTCAAAACTAGACATGCATGTATATGGGTTTGTGAGGCAGTAATCCTGTCTACGGGGGTCTACCGAAACTGGTGCCCTCTAGTGGCCAGCATGGCTGGGTACTCTGGGAAATTCCTCTTCTCTGAAAACATTCTGTCTTTTCCCCATGTTGAGAAAACATGTAAAATAATGAACACATAATTTCCTGAAGCCTTCCACTCCATCATTCACTTTGTTTTAGTTTTGGGTTGTATTCAGCATGTTTCTTACAAGCAGCATTACGAGTATCTCTAGCCAATCACTTGAATCAGCTTTTTTGCTAGCCTAAGCATTAGATAGGTGGTGCAGCGATTTGCAGACTTTATTTTTTGCTGTCCACTTAACCTTTTTCAAACCGACTTGGTCATTCTGTTTACAAATCATTTCTTCAGGGCTAGAAACCAAAGTGAGCTGTCAGATTTTGACAATACTTGTATCTATACATTACAAATCAGTAGTAGTAATTGACTAGGAAAGACATAAACCTAAAAAAAAATGAAAAACTGAAAAGTTTGAATTTATTTCGTAGTTGTCGCTATATATTTACACCTCACCAGTCTCGAAAATTTGCATACAGAGATTTCCAAGGGTGTCTTACTATTCTATCAACCAGGGGGTGCTACTACAAAATTTCTTGTACCAAGAAGATAGGATTAGCTCTTCTATTCGTCCCTGTTTGGACGAAGTCTGAAAACAGGAACTTCAAGTTCACTTCTATTTATATCCATCTGCTCTTGTATCCCAGTCATGCTTTAACAGATTATTAAAATATTGACATTTAATTATATCCCAGGAAATTATATCCCATAATGCATATATGCGTAGTAATGAGTTAGTACAAAATTTATATTTGGTTCAAACTGCCTTAAGTTGAATTGTGTTATGTTATAAAAAAAAATATGCATACATTTTAAAATCTTATTGTTCATGAAATCACTTTTTGCAGCCTTCAGTTGAGATGAGAGACATCTTACCTGACAACGGTCGCTATGTTTTTGTTGTGCATTACTATCAACCAACAAGTGTGTCTTATGATGTCAATTTTGATATTCGAGGAAGACCCAGTCAGAGTGGTGAGTTGATATGTATTCTTTGCAATATGGCTGCTTTTAATCAACCAGAAACACTTCAGTCTGTTCACGGTTACTAAAACAAAAGACCGTTAGGAAACGAACCATGTTCTTTTCATTGGATGCGTGTCGCGGGTAAACATTTGAAACAAAAGACGTACTAATCTGTGATAAATCATTAACATAAAATGTAGACAGGAAATCACGCAAACATGACGTCATTTTTCCCAGAGTTCATTGCAATCAACAACTGCACGCCATTTTATTGTATCTGTGTCGATACTTTCAGTAATACTAAAGTGTAAGTTGTTCCAGTGAATCCTGACAAAACCTGTCGCTCGGTTTAAACTCAATACAAATTTGCCTGTCTTGTATGGCATTTTCGTTTCTAAAGAACAAGATCGGCAGAAAACTGAAATAAAAAAACCAACAAAACATGATCAGAAAAAAAGACATCAAGGAAACCATACAAGTGTTTATATTTCAGCCATGTGAAAGTTTTAATGAGGAGCCATGATACCACGTACATTTTGTTGGAAATAAACAAAATATGCGATAAGATAACTGAAATGACCGGCCCATGCTCTACAAAATGCATGTAAGCAGACCAAATATGCAACAACAGGCAGTTTCAATGAAATTAAGAACGGTTAAAAAGGATTCGAAAAATTGATTTGGCGAAGAGACTGCTAGAAAGTTGTACCGACAGTTCAATGTGTTCAAAAATTGTAGCGTTGACTAAAACCGCATTTAACGGCACGCTGAATATTGCAATATGAAAAATTTGCCAAAAAACTGAAACAAGGACAGACAAGAACAATTAAATAGGTATTTTATAAAACTGGCGGAAAATATTGCAAATAAAATTTACTCTAATAAGCCCCCAAATTGCACACAACCTTCATAAGTATGCACAGTATTATACTAAAAATTCATTTGGTAGTATTTTTTATAATATAAATAAATGTATTTTAAAATAGTGACCTAGGGGTTAGAATTTTTGTCACTTTTTCTACCGGGCCCCAAGCTTACTCTCATGACAACAGTGAAAACGATAAATGACGATTCTCGATTCTGAATGTTATCACAGTCACAAAGAGTACTCATCCAAAATGTACGTGTAGTTCTTCGTAAAGCTTGTGCACTAAACGTGGATATTCTATTGAAAACGAGCTTAAAATTTCAAATTCACGGAACATCAAGTGATCGACACAAAAATGAAACAAAATGGTGGGCCTTGAAATCTCAAGCGATAGAGGGCGTACACAGCATGACATGCATCCTTGAGGGATTAGGCAGATTCACACCTTTTAACAATAGTGTTTCCTAACTGTCTTTTTTAGTAACTGTGGTCTGTTATAGTATAAAGATGTAATATGGATGGTAGTTGCACTTGTTAAGTCATTGTTTCTTTCATTGTCATTGTTTCTGTCAAACATATATACTTACTGTAAAATCTGTTTTATAAACCGCGGCTTCTATTAAAATTGTACAATAAAACTGAAGTCATGCAGCTTCTATTAGAGCATCTACACATACGAGAAATGATGACTTTTTGGTTCTCTTTTATTCAAAAATAATGGGTGCGACTTCTATTAAGGATGTGGCTTCTAATATAGATTTTACGGTACTACTGGTAATAGACTATCTATAATACCTTTTCTATCAATGACTTTTGATTTTAAATTTCATTCTACATGTACATGTATACTTGTTTCTTTTCAGGTACATTTAATGCTAAGTTCTGTCCACATGTATCTGGATGTCGTTCTGTTGTGACCACGCATGATGGTGATGTAGCTTTCGAGATAAGTCCTTTTGCACCAGATCTTGTCATAACTATTCCAGATGATAAAACACTGTGGTTGGTAAGTAATTGCATTTTGAAATTAATGATCACATTACATTATCAAAACCATGCGTAGAATTGCACAGAACTTGAAGAGCTTTAATTATCATGCATATTCATATTTTTTAAGGTAGACGCTAAGTGAAAATGTCATTTTTATTATTTTTACATTTTTCATTTGAACATTAAATATGGTTAGCAAGTGTGCCACAGACTCAATGGAAAGGCCAAATCCACTGGCAGAGATTAATTCACTACTGAATATGACTTTGGAGAAATCTTGGTGCATTAAATTGTCATAATGCCATTACGAAAGAAAGGAGAGGGTCACACATGCAGCCCTGTTCCAAACTGGATTATTGTCTCTGTTGCAAAATGCACTGACAAATGCACATAAAAAAAGTCAGAAGAGACAACAGTGACGTTCATTGTCACCAGGCACAAAAATATTTAAAAAAAACAAAAAAAAAATTTTTTCTCTGTGAAATGGGCCAAAAAATCTGGGTTTTGTTGAATCATAATATTGATGAAAAATGAAAATATGATTACAATTAACGCAAGTTTCTAGTTGGTAATACTGTCAAAATGCATAGTAAATATGCTCTCCCACAATGCATTGCAAATATGCTCAATAGTGTATATTTTGAATTGGTCTTAATTCAGGATTCTCTCCCACAATGCATTGCAAATATGCTCAATAATGTACCGGTATATTTTGAATTGGTCTTAATTCAGGATTCTCTCCCACAATGCATTGCAAATATGCTCACTAGTGTATATTTTGAATTGTTCTTAATTCAGGATTATGTGATGGCAATACCAGAGGAGACGTACAGCTCAGATGTCCTGGAACCACTACCAATAGACCGTGCTGGGGAATTTATCAGAGAATGCGGACAAAATGATTTCTATATCAGGTAGATACATCACATCATTATGTATATTTATTCATTTATTTATTTATTTTTTGTCAATTTGCTTGTTCATTCGCTTGTTTGTTCGTTTACTCACTCTTTCATTATTGTGTGCAAAATGTTTTCTATTTTTAATTTGTGATGGTCGAAAGCTGGTCCAGTGGAATTTATGTTTCTTGATTTTTACTGCTTACGAAGGAAGCTGACCACTGGAATGCACAATGTCTCTGACTCGCATACCATTAAACCACAGTGGACTAAATCATGACATTCTCTGATTTCATTAATAATGTTATTATTGACCCAATGTGTTGTATTTTTTTATAGTTCAGAGACGACTGGATTCTGCCGTGACAGTGTATTCTCCTTGACCACTGATTATAACAATGGCGCTGTCAAATGTGACTGTAATTATGCCGGTTCTACAAGTTTTTCATGTGACCCTCTTGGAGGCCAGTGCCCATGTAAACCCAATGTTATTGGACGAACTTGTGACCGCTGTAAAACTGGCTATTATGCATTTCCTAACTGTATACGTAAGTGTTCTTCATTTTTCTATCCATTGTATCACTTGCATTGCTTGACGAATGAACAGTTAATCCTTGGAAAGAGAGAGGTTGTATTTGTTTATCATGTCGATATGATTCATATAAGGCCAAGGCATTTATGGTTTAACTATGTTTTCATTTTGTTTCTAGCGTGTGGATGTGTTATTGGTGTTTGTGATGATAACACTGGTGCCTGTATTTGTCCACCTAATGTCGATATGATCCATATAAGGCCAAGGCATTTATGGTTTAACTATGTTTTCATTTTGTTTCTAGCGTGTGGATGTGTTACTGGTGTTTGTGATGATAACACTGGTGCCTGTATTTGTCCACCTAATGTTGGTGGACCAAACTGTGATCAGTGTTTGCCAAGAACATTTGGATATGATCCATTTATTGGCTGTGAGGTAAGTAACAGAACATAAGTCTGTGGCTTACTTTTGTTTAACATAGTTGTTTGGATAAGAGTTCCAAAAGATTTGTTTAAAAAAAAATTGAAAGCTGGACACCAAGTGAAAAACAATGCATACAAGGTGTTGCAGGAAAAAGATGTTGGCAAAACGTGAACCAAACATTTTCATCGGTCACACTCTTCCAGACATCCCACCTCCCCCATGATTTCAAAATTTATACCCCTAAGTAATGTGGTGTCCCGCAGCCATATTTCCATGAGCAAAATAATGACAATTAAAGGCATGCAGAGTACCATTAACATAAAGAGTGATTCTTCACTATAAAGAACGCCAGTCTTCACATACACATGTTAGTTGTGGGTACCGTACAACATAACAAAGGTAGATGACACGGGTATGTAAATTCATAACCAAATATGCAGGTAACATACAGTGAATTTGTGCACTTTACAAAAGTATATGACACACTTGTTAATATTTTATGTTTGCGTAGTGGTCAGTACCGTAAGTACCAGAAGCTAAAAATAATAATATTTGCAGGTGTCATAAAATATTGATTATTATTATACGTATGTCACCGTAACGCCATAAGTTACAGCGTGCCGTAATTTTGCAGTATTTTACGGGGTATTTTCATACTACCATATTTGGAAATGCGAATTCCAAATATAGAATGATTACGCGCATAAGCGTCCTCTAATAATAAAAACAAACATGGCTGCGACCAGGATTTGACCGGACTCCATACAAAGAAGTTTGCTGATTCTGTTCTAAACTTTTTGGATTTCGGAATTTCCATGATGTATCCTTGAAGGGAAAAGATGTATAATAATAAGGTTATTATGAAGATACCTCAAAGTATGCACTCGGACAGTACGCTGTCGCATCGACCTCCGCTGCGCGTCGGTCGATACTGCCGCTGTACTGTCTTCGTGCATACTTTGAGGTACGGTATTACATACAGTGAAAAAAAACAGCCTAAGGGCGACTTTGTGACGGCAGAACATTAGCTACATGTAGTGGTGATCACTGAGCCACATTTGTTTTCAGATATTCACATGCTGGTTGGCAAAACTATATAAAAATGATGTCTCAACATATGGCAGCCAATAGAATCCCTATTTCTGCAGGAAGTGACACTAGAAATAACAGCCATCTGCTTCCTATGCAATTTCATTTATAGACTACTGTAAAAGGGTTAATTATTCACTGGGTTTTACTTTTGCTTATGTCGCTGACTGGAATTGCTTTAATTGCTTCGAGGTCGGGACCCGACTGAAATGCGAAGGAGGCACCGTCGCGACAGCGCGAGGAACAGGGGAGCTTCTGAAGGTGCTGGCAACATGTCCACCATCTGCTTGTAGGCTGATACTGGGCAAAGGGCGGAGCTAGGGATAGCCAGGATGGGAATGTGCAGAACCCGTTCGCCGAACTGTATGGTTT